TCACTGCAGAATCTGCAGGAAATAGAGGAAGGGGAGCATAAGTCAACTCTGCTCGTTTCCAATCCTAGAAATGATTTCGTTATAACCATAAAATTAACTAAAGGAGAAACAGTTATCAGTAACTATTTGTTTAGTCATTACAAAGACCAGACTGATTTCATAGAAGTGACTTAAATGGATTGTAGCACGATGATTGTATCAACATACTTAGCATGCTGTACTTTAAGTTACATATAGAAAAGCCAAGAGATCAATAATACTTACAAGGGTTAAGTTTGTATGGGGATAAGCTCAAAACCGGAGTTCTGTGCATGGGGGTACCGAAGGTAGACATTCCAAAATTTGAACAAACTTTGTACGGGGTGTATATGCAAGAGAGAATCTTTTACTTTATAAAATATCTTGATAAAGTATAAAACTTTGAAAATGTCCCAACTTTTTTTACAAATAAGTCATTAATTCCCGAGGTCTGACGACATTGAATTCAACTGCAACGTAAGATTGTAATACCTGTTTTAAAGTTTATATCTTTGGTATGGTATATGATAGTTAAACAGAAAAAAACAAACGCCAATGAATAAATAAACAATTTCATTTAATCAATGGAAAATATATTTGATAGTGTGATTAGAGTCTTTTCAATATATTGATCCTAGTTACCAAAATGACACTGTTCTCCAAACTGACTTTTTGTGTAAAAAACATCAGAAACATTGGCTTAATTAACACGGAAGGAAATCGGCTGCTTTGCGTGAGGGGATTAATTGTGGCCGGCCGTGCGCCAATTGAAACTTTCTTAGAAATATTTGAAAGAACCAAAGCAAGTGATAGGAAAACTCCGGTTTCACTCTTTCTCTGAATGGTAAGGTACCAGTAGTTCATACTTGGCAACAATAAATAGTCCATTCAGGGATGAATAAACCTGAGCCTGGCGCGGGTTTACCAATCGTCGTCGTTGTCGGCAGTCTATCGCAGGTGATGATGGGGCAGACTCTCTGATGAGCTACCAGACCCACTCGTAAGCGGCAGATCCGGCTACAGCGACTACATGTATAACCTGATGTTGCAGTGGAGTGTCTTCTTACATGAGCACACTGGTATTTCAGCTGCTGCTTCTCTTCAATGCTTTCCACTAATTGTTTAACAGTGGATCTCCAGAAACTTCTGTCCAAAGCATCCTGTTCCCAGGTGTTAGACTTGACATTGGCATTTTTCATGGACCGCTTCAGCACGTCCTTGAAGCGTAGCGTCTGTCCACCTTGCTTTTTCATCCCTTCACTGAGCTTGCCATAGAATACTGGCTTTGGCAGCTTTGAGTTTGGCACTCGCCGTACAAGTCCAGCCCAGCGAAGTTGTTTTGCACGAAATTATTTTAAGTTAGGTAATATCCCTCGGGAATTGCTCTATAAAAATGAAAAAGCGTTTCGAAAATTGTAAATAGTCTGCTAAGTACAAAAATAGAAAAAAATCGTAACGGGAACACAAGGTTCAAGAAAGGGAAATGAATACAGAATTGTAAGTACAATTAGCTCAAGAACATTATGGCACAGTACCTGAAAAGTATCCAGTGTAATTTGTTTATTTCAGTTTGAATTCACATGCTCTTAAGAAAGAAAGAGTGTAGAAATAAATTTCGAAAATTTCCCGAGCTTTTGAGGTCTGAATACAAGTTCAATACAGAAGTTGTGACGCTAGGATGAGAGCTTGGACGCTTGATGTCTACGCTCTTTTGAGGAGTTCAACGTCAGGCACACGATCTTGCCATCGTATCCCTTGTATCTTGGGCAGATGACGGATCTGAACTCTGGACAGCTTTTTGATGTGGCGTTCATAAAGGGTCATTGACTCAACAGAGTAAAGCAGTGACGGCAAGATGGCAGCGTTGTAGACCTTTTACTTTCGTCTTTCGCTTGATGTCATGACGAGACCACAAGCGCTTCTGCAATGAGCCAAATGCTTTTGCGGCAGCTTGAGTGCGCCGGTCAACTTCCAGATCGACAGAGTTGGTGTCCGTAACTGCGCTACCAAGATAAGTGAGGTGGCTAGACTTTTTCAAGACGTCGCCATTGACAAGTACCTCTTGGCACTCAGAACGTTCAATAAAAGGAAGTTGGTAGAGGAGGTCTGTTATTTCTGTTAAGGTCACTAGTTATTTCGAATGTTAAAAATCACCAAAGTGTGGCAGTAACAAAAAATGCTTAATGTCATCCCTAACCATTGCCTTATTTGGCGTTTAACCCAGACCAGGATGGCCGAGTGGTTAAGGCGTTGGACTTAAGTTCCAATGGACGAATTATCCGCGTGGGTTCCAGCCCCACTCCTGGTATTTTTTTTTTTTTTTTTTTTTAATTTCTGAACAATAATTTACGTTTCAAGTAGGAAGGAAACGTTGTACTTGACTATCTTGCAAATTTTCATTACAGCTGGGAAATGTTTTTTAACTTTTAATTTCGTAAAAAAAATGAGAGTCGAGTCGTGTAATAAAGTATATACATGCTACGTTACATAATGCTACATAATGACACAAAGAAAGCGCACACAAAATTTTACTACAATAAGCACTATTAGAATGAGAACAATAAACAAACGAAAAAGAAAATTGAGGCATTTGCGATGTAAAATACCCCTTATACATACATCATCCAGTAAACAGGAGGTAACAATACTCAAACTAATCAGGTAGAGGTTCTCTTGATGTAACACCAACTTCTCGTCAATATAACTAATTTACAAGGGAATGCGTAGCAGCTAGAGGGGGAGAATTCACAATCAGATCTTAGGGGTTCGAGGTGAAGCAAGTCTTGATTTGAAATTTAGGATGAACACCAAAAGTCTGTGGCTCAGTTCACTTATAGCACAACTGGACATGTATTCATTTTATTTTTGTTTTACTTTTCTTTTTGTGTAATTTTTATTTAAACACGATAAATTCATCAGCCTATAAAAAGACATATCACATACGCTAAGATATTTAAAATTAAAACTACATACTATAACACTAAAGCAGTTTTCCGTGAATGCCGTGCGTTAGACTTAAAGAATATCATTGATCTTACGTTTAAATAACCCCAGAGATTCTGTGTTCCTTATATCGCGTACTAAACTGTTCCATTATGTGGCGCCATTGTAGCTAAAGCTTTTTCTGTAATAATTAGCGCGCGGTAGTGTAACATTAAGCTCATTTTCAGAGTCCCTAAGGTCATAAGCAGAGTCACGTCACGTAAACTTTGAATATAGATACCTTGGAGCTAGGCGTGCAGACATCTAAACAACGTGGTGGCTTTATGGATTTCCTGCTGGCGTGCAAGATTTTTCCACCCTAAAAACTCGAGTAGCTCAGTTGCATCAGCATCATAGTTAGAGAATGTCAACACACAGGCTGCTTTATTCCGCAATTTCTGCAGTTTGTCTCGTAGCGTTTTCCCACAGCTACCCCAAACAATGTCACAGTAATCAAAGTGAGGTTTTACTAAAGCTTGGTAGATGAGATGTAAGGTTGATGCTGGGATCAGGTGCCTAATTCGCTTTAGGGCCCCGATACCAGAGGCGATCTTTTTCGTTAGTTTTTCGATGTGACTATGCCAATCGAGTTTATCGTCTATTATTACACCAAGCGATTTTGTAGCTG